CCCAGTTCAAAGCAGATATTGTGGGATTTTCTGCCTTGATATTCTGGGTTATAAGGCTGTGTGGAAGGGCCCTGGAAGACCTATAACCCAGAATATCAAGGCAGATAATCCACAATATCTGCTTTGAACTGGGTTATCTGAGTCCACACTGCCATAGAATCCAGTTCAATGTGGATTTTATACAGCTGTGTGGAAGGGACCGGTGATAGTATGAAAGCTGGGTCCGGAACCTCCAAGTGTTACGCTGTTTCCACTTCGCTCCTTTGGGACACTGTTTGTGCAATGCAGAACGGAACACGTGACCGGGAGGGGGGAGGGCAGGGAGAGACTGAGGTACTGTAAGCCAGGCCCGACACATATTATAGAAGGAATGTAAGAGTTCTTTAATGGTAAAACCCTTACCCTAAACCTTACCCTAACTTACTCCACACTGGCTCTCTTGATAGTTGATATGTACACTTCTATATGACTTTCTCATCTTTTCCCTATCAATTAATATGGTTATTATTAGATATGATTAGCAGTATTTTTATAGTTGAACAGATGTTGACTGGTAGATGGGTTATGTTCTGTATCTTAAAAACTACAGCTGATAGGGAAACGGGCCACTTTTGTGATCAGCAGGTCAAATATACCCTAAAACAGATCTAGCATTTGAAGCTATTTCATCAGTTTTAGATAAACTGTTTTATGCAATGTTTTTGACATGAATGAAATAAATTGGAGGTACCAAAATATATGTTGGCCTGTATATTAGTATATTAGCCATAGATGCAGGCAAAATGTCAGGAGAGAATGCTTCTGGAAAATGGCCATACAGCCCGAAAAACTTACAACAACCCAGTGATTCCGGCCATGAAAGCTTTCGACAATACATATTAGTATAGTTTTTAAAGGTAATTAAAATATACATGTGTAGGCGAAGGCAAATAAATTAGCCAATGTAAAAAAAAAAAGGGCAGAGCTTTAGCATAGCAGGTTAGTCACAAGCTGCAGTAAATCTTGCCAACCAAAAGATCGACAGTTTGAAGCCCGGGTCAGGGTGAGCTCCTGACCTTCTGCCCAGCTCCCCGCCCCAAGAGGATTGAAAACAGCAATGTGAGTAGATAGAGACTGCATTAAAAAGTGGGGAGATATTTAGGCACGGCGATTCTATCAAAAAGGAGGAAGTTTACGAACAACAACAACAAAAAAACCCCTCTTCAGCAGTGACTGAAATTGAGCACAGCCTCTAAGATGCCGAAAGATGGGAAAGCCTATATATACTTCTATCTATGTTGTTTGTCTTGTATAACCGGCATTGAATGTTTGCTGTGATCCTGAGTCCTCTTCCTGAGTCCTCTTCAGGAAGAGAAGGGCAAAATATGAATACTGTAAATAGACAAATAAATATTGTCAAAGGCTATTTTCCAATCCTTGTTTCAATATTATTGGTGTCTGGAACTGAGGAAGAAGAAAGAAGAAACATTTCTTTTTGTCATAGGACCTAGCTGTACTGTAGAAATAATACAGTTTGACATCCCTTTGCATGCCAAAATGCTTGGGACCAGAAGTGTTTCGGATTTCAGATTTTTGTTTCTTATTTTGGAATATCTCTTCTAGCACATGATGCCTGGAGTAGATATATGTTGTGTAGAAGGAGAAATTTCATCAGGTGTTTCTTGTCATGCAACAAGCGAGTCTGAGATTCCCTGAAATTCATAACTGTTAAAGTTAGAGAAGCCCTCTCCAATTTTCATCCTGGTACTTTTAGGAACCGAAAATGGCAGTGCCATTTCACTCATGCAATGATAACAGACCTCTTCTGAGCAACAATTTTATGTGAACAGAATACTGGGCATTGGTTTGCTCCAGCAGGCCTGTATGTTCTTAATTCCAAATTTTAAGTACCGTACTTGGTTTGGCTGTGGTTCTGAAACCTGTTGCTCTTAAGTGGCTTATCACTTGATGATGCAATTGGTCTAGCAAAATATGTGCCTTGACAATCTGTAAACTATAGCGCTATATTGAGAACAGATCTACTTGGAAGGAAATCACACAAAGTTTCTCTATAATGTATTTCCTGTTGAAGATGTATGTTCAGAAGCTCCTACACCACCATGTAATCCACATTATCAAAGCAAAAGATCCATATTATCCATATCTGCTTTGAAATGGATTGAGTCTAAAATGCTATATAATCCAGTTCAAAATAGATAATCAGGATTTTATATGGCAACGTAGAAGAGGCCATAATGCAGGAGAAGAGAGCCTCTGCTTTGATTTCATACAGGTCGGGCATCCCTTATCTAAAATGCTTAGGACCAGGAGTGTTCCGTGTTTGGATTTTGGCACACTTGCATATATAAGTAATGTGGTATCTTGGAGGTGGGACCCAAATCTAAGCACAACATTCATAGATATTTCATGTATAACTTATAAAAGACTAATGTTTCCCCTTGACATTAGGTCTAGTTGTATCTGACTCTGTAGGGTGGTGCTCATCTCCATTTCTAAGCCGAAGAGCCAGCGTTGTCCGTAGATGCCTCCAAAATCATGTGGCTGGCATGACTGCATGGAGCGCCGTTACCTTCCTGCCGAAGCGGTACCTATTGATCTACTCGCATTTGCATGTTTTTGAACTGCTAGGTTGGCAGAAGCTGGTGCTAACAGCGGGAGCTCACCCTATCTGTGGATTTGAACCGCCGGCCTTTTGATCAGCAAATTCTGCAGCTTAGCAGTTTAACCTGCTGCGCCACCTTATACTTATAGGTAATTGCATACAAAATATTTTTATATAACTGTGTGCATGAAACAGTTTGTATACATTGAACATCAGAAGTCAGGAAGTCACTATCTCAACTATTGATATGAATCATTTTGGAATATTGTAGATTTTAGAATTCTGGATAATAGATGCTCAACTTGTATTGCATTTTTTTAAAAAGGAAAAAATAACTGTTACTTGGAGACTTGCTTTGTTCTCGGGAGCTATGAGTTCTTTGGGTGATTTTGATTTCTATTGGCTTTAATGCTCACTTAGCTTATAAAAACAAAAGTGGTATTTTCATCATATTTATATCATGCTCTAGTAAGGAAAACAAAACTTCAACTCAGAAATAACCACCAGTACCATACTTTTATTTGATAATAAATATCTTAGTAAACAGGCTTACTCCATCTGTAAGACCTGATAATGCCTTTTAGGAAATAATAGAAAAATAAAATACAATAATCATCGGTAACTTGTACGTTGTACAAATATCTTATAATGTTGCTCAGCATGTAGCTTTGCCAAACCCCATATTCTTTCTGCAAATAGATGGCATATGAATGCAATTCACCTTAAAACGCCCTAGTTGTGAGAGCTGAGCATTTTATTACACTACTAACTTATAGGCATGCCAGCACATGAAAATTTACATGGAACATCATATTATTATTATTATTATAGTAGTAGATTTCAAATGAGGAAAATAATAAAGCCTCTCAAGTAAATGAGGATTACTTCACGTCTAGTTTCTAGCCTAGGAATATATCTATATTTCCTCTTGGGATCCCAGCTCGGTATGTTAAACTTTCGTCGGAGCAATATTCCTGTCTTATAACTACAAATTTATGAAAGAAAGAAAAGTGAAATATGAGTGACTGATATCTCTTAAACGAAAATAATGGTGAACATTAGGGCATAAGAGGAAAATGTCAGCTTTAAAAAATGGACACCAAGCTCTTCTCTTCAAACATAATGGCTTTAAGTTGCAGTTGGCAGTAAAGCGGAGACAAATAAATATTCATAACCAGCAATGGACATAACTTTAAGTCAAAGAAGCAGAAACATCCCAGTTTAAAGAATGATATGTGCCCATAATAGTCACATGCACCAAGGACCAGGGAGGAAAGAGGAAAAGATGTTCATTTTCCAATCAGAAGACATGGGAACTTGTGCAAAAATTTGCTTCCTCTCTTGAAATATGTATGAAGATTTTCAGATGGGGAGAATCTTGCACAGGAGCCCCTGAATTCAGGGCAAACTGTTTGATGGGGGCAAAACTTTTCATTGTGAGAAGCTATAGAGTATTCACTCATTCATTGATTCAGGCCCCTTCTACACTGCTATCTAAGCAGATAATCCACATTATCTGCTTTGAACTGGATTATAGGAGTCTACACTGTCATATAATCCAGTTCAAAGCAAATAATCTGGATTTTATATGGCAGTGTAGAAGGGGCAAAATATCTAAACACACAGAAGCTCAATGTATACATGCAAATACAAATGTCAGTTAAAACATAGGATAGTTACATTCACATTAAACAATAATAATTTGTTCTTTTCTCAAAAGATGAAAAAATTCCTCTTCACATGTGTGGAAATAGTTCTTGTGTCTTTACTATAGATGAGTAGACTCCAAATTCTCGCACAGTAAATGTCCTATTTAATTTATTACACAAGAGTGGATTCCAACAATCATTCACAACTGGTTTCAACTCTCAGGAGTCTTCATCAGATAATTGGGTTTATCAAAAAAAGCTCAATATTTGAGGCAACTGGCCTATTAACAGTGCATTTTATTCTGTAGCGAGTATGCCTTTGCAGAGTATGCTGGTTAACAAGAACTTGTTGATCCACTTTTCAAGAGCATTGTCAATGCTCTCTCTCCCCCCTTCCTGGTGTGTCATTTCTACTCATTGGGAGAGCTCCAGCAAGACTATAATGGAGGCCAGATAAATTTATTTTACTTTTAAAAGAGGTTTTTGGGCTGTGTGGGAGAAGGGAGGGCCCCCAGATGTTCTGCCGGGCCAGTCCCAGCAGAATATCTGGGCACCCACCCCAGAAAGCGCATGGGATGGGTGTAGACAGGCCCCAAGGAACATCGGCTTTATTAAAACGCGGATGCTCCTGGGATAAAGGGCTGACTGGAACCCCTCACAAATTTATAAGAGTTGTATGAAGTGGAATCAGGTCCTTTCAAATAGTTGCATTATTTTTTACAGTTGTCCCTCCACATTTGCGATTTTGACTTTTGTGGATTTGATTATACATGATTTGATCAAAATATTCTATCTAGGAATCTCAAGATTCTCCAGTGTAGCCCTATGGTCAACTTTCTTCAATCTGTTTTTGCACTATATCAGTAACCTACAAAACAGATTCTGCACCAGAGGACCAGAAGTAGTGTGAAGATTCCCTGCCAATAACCAGACCATGCCCATACTGTTCCCACTGACTGATCATCATCATAAGGAAGTGGAATGAAATAGTGATATTCAAATTAGTTACTGAATTGTAGTGGGAAGGGGTCAGTAATGGATTATTTCAACGTTCCCACAGACTACGCAGCACAATAACACTAGGAGAACCATAACACCATGTGATAAAGCTGAGTCTAAACAGCTGCTATGATAGCATAATGGTGTGGTGCAATAAGGACCTTTGTGTGTACAAGCGAAACATACCCCAATGAAAGAAATAAACTACTTTTCATTCCCTTTGAACCAAAGTTTTATTGTAATCAAGGTTGAGTGGATGTACAGGATGTTTAGAGCAGGTGTCAGAGCTGACACATTGCAGAAGCGAGGTGCAGATTGGCTTCAATAAAATAAAAGTCCATGTAATGTATCTTAAATCAGGTCAAATGCTAGGACTATTAGTCCTAGGTCTCAAGTAGTCCCTCCCCAGCCATTTGATTTACCCAGCTCATTGCGGACCTTCCAAGTCCCCTAAGTCCTCATTCTGGGGACAAATAAACACTCCAAAATAATTAATCAGTACTCCTGGATTAGCCATAACAATGTGTGATAGTATTTCCACAGGGTAAAAAGAGTCCTAATTCCCTTATGTTATTATTGCCCATGACCATAGGTTCATCTCAAAAGAGCAGACTATGTCTCTTATCTCTGGACATATTGTTCTATGAGGTTACTTTTACTTAAGCTTCACCAATGTGATGGAGAACACGGAAGACCCACACATACCTCCTGCTCCTCATAAACCTGCCATGCAGCCTCCAAACCCAACCTATGATAAACCCTACAAAACGTAACTCTTGGGCTGGATCTACACTGCCATATAATCCAGTTTCAGAATGCAGATTAACTGCATTAAACTGAATAATGAGGATTATCTGGAAAGTAAGGTTACAAGGCACTTGCCAGGAATTCTCTTGGGGGAAGTTGGCATCACTACTGTGTAGTGGGAAGCCAGTGGAAGTGAACGAGCAGTGCCAGTCGTCAGTAGCTCATCAACTAGCATTGTGGGGAAAGTTAGAGATGAGCATCCTCATTCCGTTTCCCTCAAATGCGAAGTTCGTGCCGTAAGATGCTACCTTAATGCTAAGGGCATTAACGCCACTGCGATTTATCACAAAATCATTTCAGTTTATGGAGAGGACGTAATGTCAAAACAGCACGTGACAAAATGTGTACAGAATATATTGTGAGACCATGAAGAAACTTCACATAGCCATCCAAAACAAACGTCATGGGATGCTGACGGTGGGAGTCTGTCTACTTCATGACAATGTGCATCTACACATTGCTCATGCCACCCAAGAGTTGTTGACTTTATTTGGTTGGGATATTTTAAGCCACCGCTTTCACAGCTCCGATTAAAAAGTCATCCCACAGATGACAAAATGTATTAAACTGAGTGGTGATTATATGGAAAGATAATGTAATACCTATGCTACAATCCATGCAAGTTTTATTAAAATATATTCATTTTTTGTATTTTTTAAAAAATCTTGTAACCTTACTTTCTGGATAACCCTCGTATATGGCAGTGTGGACTCAGCTTGTTCAAAGCAGTTAAGATGCATTCTGAAACTGGATTATATGGCAATGTAGATTCCAGCTTCAAAAAAAACCCTGGTTTTTGTCACATGTTTTCAATGACTTTGGTGACATAATGGAGCCTAAATCCAACATTATATCAGCGGCCAACCACAAATAAGATAGAATTTTGTTCCCCTCTTTTTTGTAGGCATAAAAACCTTCGAAGAGTTTCCCTTGGGAACTGCAGAAGGGAGTGGGGTGTTTTCTCTTGATACTGTTAACAGAAGCAGCTCCATCTGGGGACAACTCAATGGGATCTTGGCCCAAGTCCCCTTTAATAATACTCAAAGATTTTAAATCAGGAGACTTTATGCATTCTTCAGCTGAAAGGAATTAAAGCATTCAACAATTAGAGATAAGAGAAAGAGAGAGAACATTTCACTTGAATTTTGCAAGTCGCCTTGCAAACTTAGCATATTCCTATTGGCATAGATATCGAGTATGATCTCCTTCAAAAGTTTCTCACTTGGCAAAGACAGAGAATTTGAATACATAATCAATAAATATGGATCTAATTTTAAAGTTGCCTCGCACAGGAGGCCCATGTACACATTAAAACACATCATCAGGTCAACAAGTTATCATGACCCCACCCACCACAAGGAATAAAGTACAGTTCATTTAGTCACCATTTATTTTAATGTTTTAAACTGACTTCTGCGATATTATTCTCAAAATATTTTAAGAGTTATTGACTTGCCTGTCTATATTTTCCAGGAAAAAAACCTATCTATTTAATTAAGTTCTATGTGTATGCAAAATCACATATTTTTCTGCTGAGTAGTGAACCCATTTGGATAGAAGAGGGAGACTTTTGTACATATACATAAAGTCTATATATATTATTATGCTAAAATATTCATAAATTTGAAGGAATAGCAATTTGCACTTATACCATGTAGAAAGAGAATGATCTTCCTATCAGGAGCATAAACATATGAAACACCCTCTTAATATGCAGCTTGAAAAATTGGAAATTGTATTTTCAGTGCATTCTTTAGTAGTTACACAACAAAACAAGGGAGAGAAAAGACCATTCATACACAGGGGAAAAAACAGGAGAAGATTTTAAAAACTGATTCAAGATAATGTTACTTAAAGATTTCATACCTTTCCACTTTCTTTAGATGATTAGAAAAATATATTTAATAAATGTTTATATTGTGATTTTTTTTTCTAACATTTTCTATTGAAAATATATATTTCCACAGAATGATAAATCTACATTTTCATATATTATACACTGATGAATGTACAACATGCAACTTTTCATACATATGGAAGGGTGTCGATGCGTACATTTAAGTTTGTGGAAGGATTTGTCTGTATAGTTTTAACTAAAGTTGAACAGTTGCAGATATTGTTAATCCTCTGCTGGTATAGATGAACCTCAGAATCAAATACATCTTGAAAGTAATGCTTCTCCATTCAGTGTTTTCAGGTGTTGCCATTCAGGTGGACCTTTTTGTGATGTTCAATGCTGAATGTGGACAAGGGAAAAAAGCATAAGCTCTGTGTGCAAGTTTCCTTCAGATGCAAAGCACCCTGTGTGAACACAGAAACTTATAAGCATTTAGTTGGTGGATTAGTTCAGATATACCAAGATTAAAATGCTGAAAGGGATTCTTAAAACCATCAGTGAGTAAGTATCCACTCAACAGGTACAATAATCCACACCAGATAACCATGATTTTACTGTAAGATTTAAAAAAATCAGTTTTTGTTTGTTTGTCAATAGTATTCATGGAAGTTGCCACCTTGATAATATCCAAAGGGACTTTCCCAAACAAATAGCCATTTAATAGCTTCTAAAACAAGACTGTTTCAGCTAGCCAACCTTCACATGGAGTTGCTTGCTCTCTGGGTGGCAACCCATAAAAAGGGGTGGCTATGACTTGGATCTCTCTGAGGAGCTCAGTACAAAGAGAAACTCTTCATCGCGACAATCCTTGGCCAGTGCAGAACTTTTTGTTTGAGGTATAGCTCTAATCTACACTTCAGAATTTCAGTAAAGCCTGATAGGGGTGGCATGGAAAATATGAGCACCACAGTGATGGTAGACAAGTGGAAAAGCCCAGAGGAAAAGGATATATTTTATATACAAAGTTGAATGTTGAAAACTACAACTTGTATGGCTGCTTTCCCGAAATAGATAAAGAGCAAAACCCTCACAAACATTAAAATTAGCATTTCCCCCAGAAATAATGTTGAAATACATGAAGCAAAGTTTGTTTCTTCTCATCCTGCAAACATGACCTGACACAACAAATGAGAGTCTGCTTGCATGCATGAACATGAATCCGTTAGACTGAATTCCAAACTTGCAAAAGGGCACTCCAAAAGTATTGGTGTCTGTTCAATGCACAAGTACTTAAAAATGCCGAAGTCAATCAAAAATATTTTTAGGAGGTTAGAAAGGTAAAGGGGGAAACAAATCTGAATTACAGCCGCATCATACTGAAATTCAGCTATAGAAAAATAAATAAACATACTATTAACCACTGCATGGCATGCCAAGTAGAACTGCTTACTTAAATTGGTTAAAATGATCAGCTCGGGTCATGTTCCTGTTACATCTGCCTGTCTAAAACGCACAGCCTTTAAATTGCAAATTGTAAACTGTTAAGAGATAATTCCTCTGACATTTTTGTTTGATTAAATTAATATTATGTCCCTTTTGTTTGCGTGCTGGCCATAAAATGTATATCAGGAATACACAGAGTATAGTCTTGCTTCATATAACAGTATAAAAGCACTACACTATCCCTACATGTGACATATATGTAATTGTGCATGGCTTTCAGAGCATGCAAACCCGCTCATTGCATGTACAGAACAGCATATATCCCATGCAGAGTAGGATGATGTAGCTCAGTAGATCTATGCATGTTTTGAGGAGGATACAGATATTTTAGCGCTTTTACTTTCAGGTATATTATATGCCTATTGCTATAGCTGGAAGGACAAGTACCTAAGGTTTCCATCTGATAAATTAATTTAGTTCCTGTATCTCAGTCTGATTTGCCTAATCCAGTGGTTCTCAACCCTTGGGCCTTCAGGTGTTTTGGACTTCAGCTCCCATAGTTCCTAACAGTTGGTAAGCTGGCTGGTATTTCTGGGAGTTGAAGTCCAAAACACCTGGTCGCCCAAAGGTTGGGAACCATTGTACTAATCAACAGATGTTTCATGACACTGATATTTCTCCTCTTTCAATGCCTGTGTCACCTTTTGTGTGTGTGCATTGAACTGATATTGTGACTATTGGTCATTAATGAATATTAGCATGAACCTATTTGAAAGTCACTAGAATAATTTCCCATTTCTATTGATTGGCATCAAGGAGAGACAGATGATCATATCCTCAAGACAGGGAAACAAAGGCGTAAAAGTGTCATTTTCCATGGAACTGTATTTTGAAAATGTATTTTAAATGTTTAGTATTCAAATTAAAATATTGGTTGGCCTACGGAGAATGGGTATGCCACAATAAAAAGGATTTCCCTTGATGCAAAATAGCAAATGCTTTAAGGGTGTCTAACCGAAGTAGAAATTTATAATGATAAATTCTGCATAAATTCATTGTGCTGAGTAAATTATAACAATGATGTATTGCATGTTGTTCAAAACAGCCTCTGTGGGGATAGTTCATTATGTAGAGGCCTATACAGAAGAATTTTTAAAGTAAATGAGTAACAGTAAACTGCTCAATAATTAATTTTGCAAGTAATCACTCTGAACTTGATATCCAAACACATAGATTTTACACTCGTCATCACAAAAAATGTGACAGACTTTTATCTTTTCCATCACTTTAGCTTGTTCACACGCACAAGGAATCACTATAAGTTGTCATTGTTCATTTGGCCAAGAATTCTTACAGCTTCCATACCAGCAATCCAACTTGTACAAAGTAAACATAACAATACAACCCATATATTTGGAATTTAGTTAACAATAAAATAAATATTTATGTCAAACTCTTTTTCTTGATTGCACATTTTATACTGGAAGCTAAATGGTCACAAAACATGAAAAGAAATGTCAATTACTTTCTCTTTTTTTGTAATCTACCATCAAATTCTAATACATCAAGAAGGTAGCCACTCCAAGCCACAAAGGCTTTAACTTTCAAGGGAGTCCATGAAAGTTTCCCAAAAACTTCTACAGTTATACAAAGTTTTACATCCATCCTGAGCTATTTCCCATTGTATAGCAACAGTCTTGCAGTGGGCCAGGATGTTATTAACAGTTAATTGAGGGAGAAACTATGCCGTGTGGGTTAAAAAATTTCAAGATGGAAGCATTAACGTAAACATTATGTGTTTATAGTATGAGTAGTAGGAAGTTGCAGTTCTTGAAGCTGGGAAGAGCAGAAAGTAGGAATGAGAGTATCTTCCATTTTAGAAATGCTGAGGCACAAAACACAGTCACTTTAAGTACTTTCATACATGAAATCCTTTCTCCTGTATGTGCATCATGTGTATTCGCAAAGTCTGTAAACTGCTCACTATTCGTCTCTGGTGTCCAATAAGTACAACACCAATTCTTCTAATGTCACTGCAAAACAAAGATAAGTTGAGAAATCATTCTGGCAGAAGTAGGTTGAGAAAAAAAACATGGTCAGTATAGCAAATTTTTGTGTGATCTCTGAAATGTTTTCAAACAGAAGCAAGAGTTGAGGTGTTATAGAAAACCACACAACATTTATCTTGGAGTTAGGAACTTGTCCCAAAATATCCTTTGTGATAGGTCTGAGTACTGTTTTGAGGTCATTCTCTGTTCAATTACTTTGTGATTTGTATGTTTTTACTTTTCATTAGAATTTTACAAAGTATCTCTATACTCTGTTTTATGTATATATTTCTGATGACTTGTGAGGTGGCCTATTAATATGTGTATTAGGGGAAATTATGCTAAAAATAGAAATGAACGGCTCAGCTGAGTATATCTTGGGTAGCAATAATAATAATAATAATAATAATAATAATAATAATAATAATAGGAAGATTTTTGGAGCACAATACTCCTGACCTCACGATCGTGTTAAAAAATCAAGTATGGATCATCAATGTTGCAATCCCAGGTAACAGCAAGATTGAAGAGAAACAACTGGAAAAGCGGACATGATACGAGGATTTAAAGATTGGGTGCAGTGCCTAAAAACCTTGACCTGCACGTAAACACAATTGGAGCTGACAAAATTACCACCTGCCAGCTGCAAAAGGCCACCCTACTGGGATCCGCATGCATTATTCGCCGATACATCACACAGTCCTAGACACTTGGGAAGTGTCCGACGTGTGGTCCAATACAACAATCGGCAGAGTGCTCTTGTTTGCTGTGTACTAATCTTGTTGTGTATCAAATAATAATAATAATTTTATTCTTATATCCCACCACCATCTCCCTTAAGGGACTCGGGTCGGCTTATATATGGGACAAAATGCCCACAGACACAATACAAAACAATTCAGCATAGCAAAAACATAATTGAAATAAAAGAATAGTTAAATATAACAATCCATATAAAAGCGCACTTCAATAAAACATAAGAGATCTACGCTGCCATACAATCCAGTTTCAGAATTCTGATTCACTGCTTTGAACTGGATTATATGAGTCTACACTTTCATAAAATCCAGTTCAATGCAGTTAATCTGCATTCATTAACTAGATTATATGGCAGTGTAGATGGAGCCTAAGAAAATCCTATGAGAGAATTCATGCCAGGAATTCCCTTGTTTTTTGAGTGTTGCTCTTTATTTACTGTCCTGATTTTAGCATTTTTAAAATACTGGTAGCCAAATTTTGTTCTGTTTCATGGTTTCCTCCTTTCTGTTGATATTGTTCACATGCTTATGGGCATGTTGTTTGTGTTAGACTTTACATTTGTTTTTCTTTTGAAGCAATAACATGAGTTTGAAGTTATCAGAAGTCTCCAAATGCCTTTTGCCTTGTGTTCAGAGACGTCTTTTTAAGCCCCAACATTGTGCTTTCAGTCGAACAGGTACTTGGCAATGAACTCTTTTATAATGGAGCCTCACAATTCTAAATGGCTCACCAGCCCAGAAAATTTGAGGACTCTTGTAAATGGTATACTTACTCAATATTCATTCTTGAAACAAGATCCATAGTTGTGTACCCTGCTGCCATGAAGTTAGTTTTGTATTGGCCCATTTTTATTGAGTCCAGCCAATCACTGACTGATATAAAGAAAGGGTATTCTGGAATTTCACCAGGTGAATCTGGCATGCTGCGGAAAGAAATGTAGATGCAAGACATGAAAAAAGAGACAAAACCAGCCAACCAAACAACAAGCAACACCACTCCTGTGTGGTGTTTCTTGTTCTGACAGCCTATTTCTTAAATTACAGAAATCAAGCGGTAAAGTTCACATTCTAATCTCAGAGCAGTCTATTTCACAACTTTGGGTTCCTCTTCATGAATCAAATTAGAATTTCAACAACTCAAGTTGTTTTAAAGCTTCCATTTCATAGAAAGCAACAGCAAGTCAGCTTCTAGAACAAAATGAAACATTTTTCTATTTTACATTTTTCTCTTGGATTTAATATAATTAAAATGCATTCCCAGTTTGTAAACTATCATACAGCTAGGTGCATGTAAATCCAATTGAAACAAATCTTATTATATATGAACCAAATGTCCAGTGCTGTAGAACATGATTCTACAATTTTCAGAATAAAAAGTCAGTTCAATAAGATGTTAAATACTTATGATGTAAAATGTGGAAGATATCTGGCCACCAAAATTAGAAACAGTGATCACATAACAAAAATCTTTATTTTGGATACTGTTGCCTTACTACTTTGTCTTTTATTGTTCAGAATGGCACTTTATTTGTATTGCATGAATATCCAAAGGTAGTAAAATGGATACATGTTTGTATGGAGCAAATAGGGATCTAAAAGCTGCAGGTGTTTTGATTTTGTTTCATATGTCTCATATTGTCAGTTCGGATACCAGCCAGCATGCCAATGCCTTAAATCATGAAATAGCTTTCTAAGATCTACAGAGATGCTTGCAATAACACCTCGGCAAGCGAGAGTCCAAAAGAGTCAATCCACAGCAATACCCCCTCCTTCTCTCTGATTGTGTGGGCAGCTTTGCTGATATCAGCAAAGGCACCCATCAACAGCAGGCCGAATCTCTATGGCTGTTCTGCAGCAATGATGGGACAAATGCACAGGCCATCCTCTCATTTTTTTTATCGTGTCATAAGCAACTTGAGAACATACTGTAAGTCACTTCTGGTGTGAGAGAGAAATTGCCCAGGGAACACCCGGATGTGTTACCATCCTGCTGGGAGAATCTGCCAGATTTTATTTTAGAAGCGACTTGGGAACATATTGCAAGTGGCTTCTGGTGTGAGAGAATTGGCCGTCTACAGAGATGTTGCCCAGGGGATGCCCAGATGTATTGTTACTATCCTGCTGGGAGGCTTCTCTCATGTCCCTGCAAGCTAGAGCTGACAGATGGGAGGTCACTCCATCTTGCAGATTTGAACCGGCAACCTTCAGGTCAGCAACCCAACCTTCAGGTCAGCAGTCCAGCTGGCACAAGGATTTAACCCACTGCACCACCACGGCTCCACAAGGAAAGTAGCACCAGCCCATGTGGATAGTAGATTGGTTCACATTAGACTCATCTGCTGTCCACTTTTCCCAATGCGTGTTGCTGCTCTAGAGTTATGATGAAACTTTACTATATTCCCTGATGTTTCCTGCTTTACCCAACATTAAGGACTGGAAGTCCCTGAACATCATGTAGATTTCCAGGATTTCCAGTCCATACAGGTTTTTAAGCTAGTGTAGTAAGTCTTAGTCTGGGAAGAAACTAGGCATATTAAATTAACCATTCAGTCTAGCACCGCCGAAGTATTGCGCTCATTTTCTCAGGAGAACCCTGCATTAAGGTATAATTTCCTACAATCACATGGTTATATTAATTTGTGAAAATTCCCAATGGAAGCTTCAAAAATCACAAAAGGCTATTTGCAATAATCATAAAATCAGTGTATCCATGGTGATTGTCCTCCATGTGAACATGTCACTTGAAATACTCAAAGCCCATCTCTTTTTTTTAGTGCGGGCGGGGGGGGGGGGTAATCTATTACAGGGTGCAATGAAGAAAGGAAAGCTGGAATGCCACCATGAAGGCTGGAGAGGAGGGATAAACCTAGGAAAACTTGCTCACTTTCATACTGAAAATTCTCATATTCTGCAATTTTGCAATTAACATAGCTTTAATTGGTAGCCATCACATAAAGAGCACGCAGGTGAATCTTACACAAGTATATCCTCTACTAGAGTATGAAGAGAGCTTGGGTTGCGTATCAATTTATCTAGGAAGGTGACAATGTCAATGAACTTTGGTCGATGGTTTCTTTCCTTTTGCCAACAATGAAGCATTAGCTGGTGGAGAGAAGCTGGGCAGCCCATGGGAGCAGGAAGCCGGTAACCTTCTTCTATGGACAGAATTACCTGAGTAGGAAAAAAAGAGAAAGAAGGAGAAACCAAAGCAGATCAAGCAATGCTGCTTTCTATGGTATAGGCAAGTTAAAGAATTAGAACCATTGTATGTAGTATTTTCAGTGTTGGAGTAGGACTCCAGAGGACAATGATTCAAATATCTTCTTGGCCATAGAGATCCACTGGGTGACCTTGGGCACACCACACTCCCTTGCCTTAGAGGAAAGCAATGCTAAATCCTCTCTTAACAAATTTTACTGAGAAAACCTTATCTTAGGTTTGCTTTAGAGCCACCATAAATTGAAAACAACTTGAAGGTGCACAACAACAAAGCCAAGAATCAGTAGCTTGTGTCCCTGGTCCCACTATAAACAAAACAATAACATCTTTGGTGTTGTGTTGCATTATTTGTATGACCTAATGTGAACCTGACTTGGGTTGGGTTTATTTTTTTGTTTTGCTCTCTGAACATTGAGGGCCCATCCAGACAGGGTTTTAAACATGGGAGTTCTCATTTAAAAAAAAAAGGGGGGGAGGGGTGGCAAGACAACATCACTGCTAAATGTGTGCTGATTCAGAACAACTGAGGGACACCTCCAGATAAAAAGGTCCCCCTTTATCCCTTTTCTGCTTATGTGCATCTTCCTCTGTCTATGTGACCCTGCATGCCCAAAAACATGTGTTTTCCTCCCCTCCCCCCTGTGGAGACTGCTCCAGCTGTTTTCCATCCACTTTAAAAAGTCCAAAACAGCTGATCAGCTGACTGGGTTGTCTAACGGATTGAAAGGAAGCACAAATGGAGAGCCAGAAGAACTCTCTAAAACTCTTTCTTTAACACTGTAAACATTGTAACCAGAGCTTTAATAAATATTATAGGGTTGTTTAAATAAATTGTCTTTGGACCTTAAGTGTGGTTCCTTAAAGCTATTACTACTCTAGAGGAGAAAGGAGCAGTGGGTGTGCAGCTCTCTCCCTGCAGGAGGCCATTTCCAGGACATTTTAAGGGGGCTTCCCAGGGAAGGAAGAGGGATCAGCCTGGAGGTATCCTGCTGTGGCTTCCTTTAAAAGATCCACCTTTTCTCTTGATTTGGAGAGCAAAGTAAAGGCATTCTAAGCTGTTAATGCTTTGAGCAGCAGCAAAGTGCCAGTTCTCCTTTCTGCCTCCAAATCAAGAGAGAAGGGAGGGCTTTTTAAAGGAAGTCAGGGTAGGATACCTCCAGGTTGATCCCTCTTCGGTCCCTAGGAAGCCCCCTTAAAATGCCTTGGAAAACTGTCTCTGGTTTCCTCTAGAGCAGTAACTACTTTAACAAACCACACTTATTCTTCATTTTTTAAAAATTCCCTCCATTATGCACTGATCTGTATATGGGCACATGCAAATATGCTTGTATTTATTGTCTTCACATGTGCTCATATACAGATCAGTTTATAACAGTGTGTGTGTGTGTATATGTATATATCACACACACACACACAACCTTCTGGTGGATGTCCCCTGTCCGCCCTCCATTTTATCCTGAGACACAAAAGGGCTGTGAGGATGGCGGGGGAAGAAAGCCTGGGACCGACAGGTCTATGTGGGAGCCTGCTTTGAGGTCCCGGGTTTTTTTTGCCCCTCTTTTTAATCCCACCTTTTGGTGCTGTCTGGAAGCATCCTGAGAGAGTATGACTTGACCAAGATCACTCACTGGGTTTCCATGGATGAGTGGAGATCTTAACTTTAGTCTCCAGCTATAGTCCCAAACTCAAAACACAAAATCATACTGGCTCATACTAAAGTAGAAAGACCATTACAGACTTACAACAGGTTCTAAGGTCACCATTTACAATGTGTAGATTTGAAAAAATTAATAAACTACCTCACATGGAATGCCATGCACCCTAGGAAGTATGAATACTGAATAGATTTCTTATGCTCATCAGCAACAAAAGAGGAATTCCGGCTCAATCTTAAAGTAATTTTGCTTGGAATTTATTTCCCAGAATTTAATTTCAGTGTCTAAGTGTGCAATCATAAAATAATATGCTTCAGAACAATAGAATGTCAGCATTCTGTTTTCTGCAGTGATCAGCAAGGAATTGAGTCCCTTACGGAAAGAAAGCGGAATATCACTCACTCCTGCTTTGGTGGATGTTTGTTGTAGCAGGATATATGTCTTGTGGTCCAGTGCCCATGCGTGTCTCCCCACAGTAAAGTCCAAAAGCGAAGAAATGATATTTAGGATTTACAAGGCTCAGTATGAAAGATTGTGGGCAAATATCCTCAGGTGAGCCATTTGAGAATATGTCAAAGAAGAACTCATACAAACCTGTTTTATGTATTTTTATGTAGACCCGTTTGATGTAGTGGCTGCATTTTACCATTCCCAAAGCTGTCTTTCAACTCAGTCTGTTGAGCTTTTTTACTTTTCATGCAAAGTTCAACCACACTGGCTAATGGTTATTAATTAAGCAATAAGAAATGAAAGACTATGCGGTGCTCATAATTAATGGATACCTCCTAGTACTTGTCACATACCTAATTATGCATAAATCAGTACCAACACAGCTTTGAGTGACTACAATAATAAACAGTTATCAACAGGCAGGTAATATTTCTTATTTCAGAGTAATAAAATTAATGTGACAAACACATCAATATATTAATATAAAGGCTTTTGCTCTGTGTTTTCAAGCTTTTGATGAATTAAATGAATTTGAAATCTGTGTTCACATACTTTGGCTCAAATAGCTTGGCTTCAAGATGGTGAAATATGAAATGCATGAAATTTCATCACTATTTTAAATGTCATGGCTATGAAATCATGGGAATTGTACAAGTTTGGTGAGGCATCAGTCCTATTTGTCGGGGTAGGCTAAAGATCGTGTAAAACAATAACTCCCATGATTCCATAGCACTGAACCATGGCCAGTAAAGTGGTGCCAAACTGCATTAATTCTACAGTGTAGATACAGTTTCATCTCCCATTGTAGGATTCCACCTCTAGTCACATGTACCATTTCAGATACAGATTTTTACCAATTTCTACTGTGACACTGGGTTGTGGCACAGCTGGTTGGGAGTCAGCTGCATTAAAATCACTACTGACCGAAAGGTCATGAGTTCGAAGCCAATCTGGGTTGGAGTAAGCTCCCAACCATTTGTCTAGCTTGCTGTCAATCTTTGTAGCCCGAAAGACAGTTGTATCTGTCATGTAGGAAATTTAGGTACCGCTTATGCGGGGAGGCTAATTTAACTAATTTATGACATCATAAAACTCTCCAGCAACATGCAAAAGAATAAGGAAGTACTCCACAACTGGATGGTGAAGCTTCAGCTCCCCAGGTGGCTGGAATTCGAAGCATACCCTCATGAAGCTGGAAAGTTAAATAGTCTCTGTGTGTCTGTATATATGTTGTGTGTCTATGGCATTGAATGTTTGCAATGGATATGTGCATTGTGATTTGCCCTGAGTCCCCTGCAGGGTGAGAAGGGCGGAATATAAATACTGTAAATAAATAAATAAATGTAAGTGCTAAAATGCATTAGTAATACAGCACTAGTTAAGAATTAGCATTGTTTTGTTTTAGTGCTAGCAATCCTCTTGCCTTCAATTGATCTCTATTGAATGGGTCAACTGTGTCAGATGTCTTGGCCAGTTTTATTATAATAGAAACAGCCAAACAGAGATATCTTTGTATTGTCGAAGGCTTTCATGGCTGGAATCACTAGGTTCTTGTGGGTTTTTTTCGGGCTATAGAGCCATGTTCTAGAGGCATTTCTCCTGATGTTTCGCCTGCATCTATGGCAAGCATCCTCAGAGGTAGTGAGGTCTGTTGGAATTAGGACAATGGGTTTATATATCTGTGGAATGGCTGGGGTGGGCAAAGAGCTCTTCCCTGCTGGAGCTAAGTGTGAATGTTTCAAGCTGATCACCTTCATTAGCATTTGAAGGCCTGCCTGAGCCTGGGAAAATCTCTGGCTGGGAGGTGTTAATCTGTGCCTGGTTTTTTCCTCTCTGTTGTTTAGCTGTTATAATTTTAGAGTTTTTTAATACTGGTAGCCAGATTTTGTTCATTTTCATGGTTTCTTCCTTTCTGTTGAAATTGTCCACATGCTTGTGGATTTCAATGGCTTCTCTGTGTAGTCTGACATGGGGGTTGTTGGAGTGGTCCAGCATTTCTGTGTTCTCAAATAAACATATTATTTGAGAACACAGAAATGCTGGACCACACCAACAACCACCATGTCAGACTACACAGAGAAGCCATTGAAATCCACAAGCATGTGGACAATTTCAACAGAAAGGAAGAGACCATGAAAATGAACAAAATCTGGCTACCAGTATTAAAAAACTCTAAAATTATAACAGCTAAACAACAGAGAGGAAAAAAAACCAGGCACAGATTAACACCTCCCAGCAACAGATTTTCCCAGGCTCAGGCAGGCCTTCAAATGCTAATGAAGGTGATCAGCTAAACATTCACACCTAACTGCAGCAGCAGGGAAGAGCTCCTTGCCCCACCCCAGCCATTCCACAGATATATAAACCCATTTTCCTATTTCCAACAGACCTCACTACTTCTGAGGATGCTTGCCATAGATGCAGGCGAAACGTCAGGAGAAATGCCTCTAGAACATGGCCATATAGCCCGAAAAAACCCACAAGAACCTAGAGATACCTTTCATTTTGCAAAAAAATAGGTTTAGTTTAACTAGATTGGGAAGACGTAATGAAACTTCCTTGTTAATGGTTAGAGTTTACAGTAAATACTCTAGGATAAAGAAAATGTCATGTGATCTTCAAAATAAAATCAGTTCATATAGGAACAAAAACTGGAACTTTTACAGATGTTCTCTCTTTTGGTGGGTTGGAAAGACATATTTCTCACACATTATTTTGAATGCTTTTCAAAGGAGAGAACTTACTAGTGCTTTTTGGAAACTTTGGGGATGTGGTCAGGCTGTAGGAGTAGGTTTGACACACAAAAAACATTTTGGGATATCTTTTTGGTAAAAGCAATTCTCTCCTCCTTCCTTTGTGGCATACTGAGTTCAGAAAGCAGGCTGAAGCAGCTACGTTAGATGAAGATTTTGGCATACCTATAATCAGCCTAGTCAAATCAATGTGACTTAAATTAGTCATGGTTTATTTATATTTTGTTGCACATATTCCATTTCCTCGGAAAAATAGCTTCCTTTCCACTTTGAGAATTATGTGCATGCTTGCACAATTATATATAATGGCTAGAGTGCTATTCAGAGTTAAGTGTGCCCAGCAATTGTAACTGGATAGCCTCAGTGACTATAAGAGGTTTATTCCTTGTTGATGTTGCTATGATATTGATAATGATTACAATGTAAATGGCAATTTATATCCTGTTCATTTTCATAATTGCTTAGGGAGCCTCAGAGCCTATGTGAGGCATACTAAAGGTCATGCTTAGAATATGTTTGGTTCAATGAGCACATCCTATAAACAGTAACCTGTAGTGATGGGAAATACTTACATCCTGGTTCGACATTTCCCAGTATGGCCGTTCTCCATATGACATCACTTCCCACATCACGATCCCATAACTCCATGCATCACTTGCTGAAGAGAACTTTCTGTAGGCTATAGCTTCAGGAGCTGTCCATCTGATGGGGATTTTTCCACCCTGGAAAATATGTTTAAATATATTCAATATACAGTTTGTGAGAGGCGGTGTTCTGCTCTGTACTTATTAGTCTATGCACATGAATGAAAATAAAAGGGGTATAACACTGCTATAAAAGTGTCATAACTGAGGTCCAAAATCTAATAAGTCATCTCATTTCATGTTCTTTAAGATTCATGTAATGAATCAGAAAAAAAAATCTGGTGACATCTTCTATGCCACATTTGAAAACTTAATGAATGCAGTAAGTGTGCTAACTGTAGTGGTAAAGCACTCAAAGCAGATTGAATTGGAGAATAGGGTATTACCATGAACATTTACCATTTTTTAGCTTTCATGTTTAATATTTTGCTTGAGAGGTTATAAACTATGGCACATACAAGAGAAAATATGATTTAAATCAATACATACTTCAGCAGTTTGTCCCAGAAGTATTGACATAATATTCTTTGGGTTGCTGTGAGTTTTCTGGGCTGTATGGCGGCTGCATGGTCATGTTCCAGAAGCATTCTCTCCTGATGTTTAACTTACATCTATGGCAGGCATCCTCAGAGGTTATGAGGACCTCATAGAAGTGGATGAAACATCAGGAGAGAATGCTTCTAGAACATGGCCATACAGCCTAGAAAACTCACAGCAACCCAGTGATTCCAGCCACGAAAGCCTCCGACAACACATAATATTCTTTATTTTTCACATATTACATATGTGTTTATAGTTGAAGTTCAAGGTCACTTTATTATGTTCAATCACCAGCTCAATGTGTGTTTATATTTTTTTACACCAACTCTGTGATCTATCATTATTCTGATAACATGGGTTAAAAGTAGGGAAAATAAGATTGGTTTGCTGAAGTCTTTCTGCACATGTCACACACACGCTCATAAAAATACAAATCTAGTGCAAAACACATAAGACACATTTCGATTTGAAGCTTAAATGTTTACATTGCTCGTGGAGTTGTCTGTACAAACAGAAATTATAATTATGCATTTGTTCTTGTTCCTGTACCTGACATCTGTTGTGTCTATGATATCCCTTCTGCAAATACTTATTTAAGAAAGAGCCTAAAGTAAAGCAGGGTCAAAGAACTCTTAAGCTGGGACAACCAATTGGTTTAACCACTTCTATTTGCAATGACTTGTGAAATTCTAAATAGAATGCATAGTTAACAACAAAATTATAGTATCTAGTTTAAGGGAAGAACCACTCCATTCTGCTTTGGTCAGACTCACCTGGAATTCTATGTACAGTTCTGAGCACCACAATTTACGAGAGAGATTGACAAGCTGGAATGTATCTAGATGAAAGTGGCCTGGAAACCAAGTCCTATGAGAAATGGCTTAGGGAGCAGGGTTTGTTTAGTTTGTAGAAGAGAAGACAAAGAAGTGATGTGATAGCAGTTTTTAAGTATCTGGATATGATACTGTATATACTCGAGTATAAACCAACCCGAATATAAGCCAAGGTACCTAATTTTGGCACAAAAAACTGGGAAAACTTGTTGGCTCAAGTTAAACCCGAGGGTGGAAAATGCAGCAACTACTTGCAAATTTCAAAATAAAAATAGATACCAATAAAATTACATTAATTGAGGCATCAGTAAGTTAAATGTTTTTGAATATTTACATAAAACTGTAATTTAAGATAAGACTGTCAAACTCTTCAATGCAAATGTGCTTATGTATCCTTCCAATAATCACTATAGTTTATTTTAACTATACATTTTGGGTAAAATGCTGTGTATATATCAATAAGGAAAAGTGGGAAAGACTGGCTTAGGAAGGGCATGAGAAAGAAGAACTGAAACTGGGAAAAAGTTGGAATGGGAAGGGGGCAACTGGGGAAAGGGGGGTGACTGAGGTGTGAAAGAGGGGCTGGAAATTGGGAAAGGCTGGGATGGAAAGGGGGGTTGGAAAAGTGGGAAAGGCCCCAATCTGAAGGGTGGCAGTGGGAAAAGCTGGGAATATTTGGTGTGGAAAAGAGGGGCAGCTAGTAAAGATTGGGATAGGGAAAGGAAGATTGCAAAATGAGCAAGACTGGAGTGCAAAAGGGGGGGGGGCTGAAAAGGTGGAAAGATTGGAGTGAGAAGGGGCAAGTGAAGTGGGAAAGTTTGAGGTGGGAAAGGGGCTGGGAAAGTGGGAAAGACTGGGGTGAGAAAGAGGGGCTGGAAAGTGGGAAACTGCGGTGGGAAGGAGCAAGACTGAAATGGGAAAGACAGCTGGAACCTGGGAAAGGCTGGGATGGAAAGGGAGCTGGAAAAGTGGAAGAAAGGGGCTGGGGATAGTAAAGACTGGGGCAGGAAGGGGGAAACTAGAAAAAGGGAAGACTAGGGCGGGAAAAGGGTGCTGGAAAAATGGGGAAAAATTGAGGTGGGAAGGGAAGAAGTGGGAAGGACTGGGGAGAGAAAGGCACGTGCTCTCTTTCCCTCTCGGCACATTGCGGAGAGGGGAGGGTCTTGGTGGGAAGGCGTGGGGCTGAAAGAAGGGCTTCTTTCAGCCCCATGCCTTCCCACCAGGACCTTCACTCAAATATAAACTGAAGGGGGCTTTTTCATCCTTAAAAAGGGCTGAAAAACCTGGCTTATATTTGTGTATATACAGCATTTAGAAAATGGAGTGAGATTGTATTCTGCTGCTGTACAAACTAGAGTACAAAGCAATGGATTTAAATTACAAGAAAGGAGTTTCCACCTAAGCATAGGGAAGAACCTGTTGACTATAAGAGCTGTCCAGTAGGAATAGAGTGCTTTGGGCAATGGACTGTCCATTGGAGGTCTTTAAGCAGAGTTCAGATGGGCATCTTTAATAATGTCTTAATTATGCATTCCTGGAGGACAAGGAGTTGAACTAGATGGCCCTTTCTGTCTCTTTTAACTATGGGTCTATGATTCTATATTCGAGCAAGTAGGCAGATGTAATGTACCTAGGATGCAGAACAATGGCTTCAAACTACAAGAAAGGAGATTCCATCTGAACATTAGGAAGACCTTGACTGTGAGAGCTGTTCAGCAGTGGAACTCTCTGCTCTGGAGTGTGGTGGAGGCTCTTTCTTTGGAGGCTTTTAAACAGAGGCTGGATGGCCATCTGTCAGTGGTGCTTTGAATGTGATTTCCCTCCTTCTTGGCAGGGGGTTGGACTGGATGGCCCACAAGGTCTCTTCCAACTCTATGATTCTATGAGTCTACCTCTATGCTTTAGAGATGCATACTCATATTTTTTTTTCTTTTCTCTTCCTCACCTTTCCTGTTGCTTCATCAAGTGGGGTTTCCTGACTTTATTTAAAGTATGCTTAAACTCCAATTCAGAATCCTAATTAGCAATCCTGTGCACCTGATTTTTTTAAAATAATGTTTTTTCTATACTGTTATTTAGTTTGTTGAGCACAATGATTCCAGATCATTGCCCTTTTATACAAAGCCAACAAAAATAAACAGCAAAACAGAGACAGTAGAATTAATAAAGATACAGATTTTCTGTAGATAGCATGCAAAATGGTGTGGCATAAGACAATCACTTATGTTATTCCTAATGGCTAAGGGAAATTACATTGTTAATATTCATATCAACACTACATTTCTTGTATAAGCTATTACAGGCATGGGCATGGGAAATTTCACTGCTTAATTACTTTTGTAAAGTATATTTTTATGCAAAAAATCTTTTACACTTTCAATTGAGCTGAGTGAAAGCTAAGAATAAGCAATATCTGTTCATGAATAATAGAAGGAAACATTTGCGTCTGCATAGCTAAAATAATATTTCCAATGCTTGATGAAAGTACCGTAATAAAAAAAAACCCTAGCCCTGCTGGGATCCCTTTCTGATAATACTGTTACACTGAAAAAATATTTATTAAATTCGATTGTTTACAGTGTGCTCCATCACAGCATTAAAATAAGTACCCATGGTTATTAATATCTAATTCCTACAGCAGATCTATCAAAACTGTCACTGTCCTTGCAGGGGAAGATTTCACATGAGCAAGCACTTTCCTCTCTTTGAAACCATGCTGCATTTTACCTCATTTCTTAAATTTATAATGAGCACGGGGAAATGCTAATTTTGCTTTTCTCCTATAACAGAGCAGTAATGGTTCTGTTCAAATGTTTATGATGTAGCCCAGTTTCATCTACTGCCTCCTGAATTATTCTTGATTGCAGCTTGGAGGCAAAATGCCACCATGAGCTGCCACAAGCCCTTTTTTGAATGAGGAGCCAGTGCCAGATAACTCAGGCAGAGTGGCATATTGGTTCAGCAGGACTTATCTACTGGAATGAAACTTCTCAGGCACAAACCCACACATCTTCTGAGTCGGAAAATAGGCCACACTGTGCCAAAGACAAATGATGGAAATAAACGGAAGATAATGCGACATCTTTTTGGTTCTGGGAGTCGAGCTCTCCATAGGGTTCTCAAATGACCTTGTGGAGGATAAAATGAAACAAGTGATGTGCCAGTATAACACAAGCTGTCATGTCTAGTGTTTGCTATGGCTTTCATTTTGTTGGAAAAGAAATCCACTGACTTATGTGCAGTGAAGTAGAAAATATGCATATTCATAATGGGGTATGAAACATCTTTATCTTTCTTCATGAAAACAGTTCTTAAGTTCCTGGTACCTGGTGTTAGAGAATATGGCGACATTAAAATTGCTCACATACATCCTTAGCTAGGATACTGTTTTGGATGTAAAGCAACTTTAGGTATACACGTGCTGCTTTCTTATAAAGAAAGTTATCTAAAACATGTGCAATTTCAGCATACAGTTTGTGGTGTCTCTTTTGTCAGGCTGAAGCCACTTGGACGTCGTCATACCATTTTGGCCTTGCTGTGCCCATCACACTACTTTCTATGTATAATCTCCACTACAAATGGCACTTTCTCCAGTGGCACAATGGGTTAAACCCTTGTGCCAACAGGACCACTGACTGACAGGTCAGCGGTTCGAATCTGGGGAGAGCAGGTTGAGCTCCCTCTGTCAGCTCCAGCTCCACATGC